CTTTAAAAAACATATTAAATTTTCATAATCGGAGATGTTCCGGAGGAGTTATAATGAATACACGAAAGCGTGCCAGAACTGCAAATGCACATTTTCATGAAAAGTTCAACCGTTCGTGATCAAGGCAACTTGTGGCATATTAAACGCCTCACCAATGTCCATCGCACGGACTTTCGGTGGAATGTGAATGAATCGATGTATATGGATGCGAGTTTATATTTTTATCGATTCATAAATATTTATCAATATTTTTTGCGGTTCCACTGTAGGTGCATTTTTACTGCACACATTTTCCGTTCTTTCGAGGCTTAAATTGTTCATTATCTAGTCCAAATATCATAAAACGTGTTCGGAAGTTGTTGGAAATTTCTTTATGAATTTGGATCAGTATGTATCTACATATTTGTATATATATATATATATATATATATATATATATATATATATATATATATATATAATACTTATTTTTAGATTTTTTTTGTTTTCTGAAACAATAATTTTATTTAATGTTTTTTTTAGAATTTTGACATATTGAATTGTTCTTAGACGTTTTATTGGATATTATAATGTGGTTTATGTTTTTATTTTTTATTTTATTTAACTTGAAATTTAACAGATTAATTTTCCTTTTATCTACGTGCATGTTCATTTTTGAAAAATTATGAAATTTTTAGAAAATTTTCGCTAAATTTTAAAATTTTAAAACTTGTGTGATTTCAGATTCTTTTTCCGAAATTTCTGGGTCTTTTGAAATTGAAATGAATTTTTAATTCCGATTTTTGAAAAAAATTCGAATCCGATCCGATCCATCCGACTTTCACCCCTAAGCAAATATGATCCTGAACATTAGCAACAATTTGAGACATAAGAATGTGATTAGGACCGGCAATTGAGCCGGGCCCAACCAAAGCCCGATGGCTCGGCCCGATTATATTTGAGCCGAGCCTACTTTTTAGTAAGTCGGGCCGAGTTTGAGCCATTTTACTTAATCCGATTTATTTATGAGTCGAGTTTGAGCTTACTATGGCTCAACCCGAATAAGGCCCGACCAATTAGGTTAATAATAAAATATATAATATATTTATTATTTTAATGCTATGACTCAACATACAAGTTACGACCGTGTAAGATTATTTGATTGTGCAAAGAAAAAAGTCAAAATAAAAGGAATTAAATAGTGGCGGTGGCAATGAGTTAAATATGGATCAAATGAAACATATCACCGAGATTTGAGAATATAAAATGTTTCTAATAATAAGAGTTACTAATTTTTTTACTTCTTTCAGTCTTATTTTCAAGTTTTTCCAATAAATTGCAAATATCGTTTAGGTTTTTTTTTTTTTTTTTTTTTTTTTATTGGCTTCAATGGAGGTAAATCTTGTTTATCACTTATTTTTATAATTTTTTTTACTCATTACAGTTATATAGTAACGGGGCCCGATATAAACCCGAAACCCGAAAAAATACATGAGCCGAGCTTGAGCTTATACTAATGAAGCCCGATGGTATGTGAGCTTGAGCCTATAGTAACGAGGTCCGGTGGTACGTGAGCTTGAGCCGACCAAAGCTCGGCTCACATGACCCAATTGCCGGCCCTAAATGTGATGATGCTAAATATTAGGTCACCTTGGGTAGTGGAGTAAAACGTGTTGGGAGAGCGAAGGGGATCACCGGCTCACGGGCTAGATGGTCCTAAGATCCTTGCGAATAGAACACATGTAAACTAAACCGGGGTTGATCCGGCGAAAACTCCTCCGACGCTCAAGTCATACGTACGGATCATGAAAATTGTAAAGAGAATGTAAATACTTGAATTGCTCTGGATTATAGAAAGTACCTTTAACAAATGAATTAAATCGTTATTTATACCTTGTCAATTGAGTTGGGTTTAATTAGTTACATCCAAATATTATTTGAAGGTGGTTGAGTTTCGTAATAATGATCTTCTCAATCGGGCTCGTGACCCAATAAATAATTAAATTATAATGGGTATTGGGTACCTGTAGGAATTTTATTGTCAAATGTAGTGCCAAAGAAAGGGGTTTGCTATTATCAGTGCGGTTTTTACTACTCGCAGTGCAAAATAATTCATTTTTTTTTTATTTTCCAAATCTTATCCAAATCTCCTCTCAAACACTCTGAACCTTTAATTCTTGAAATTTTTCAATTTGAGTAATTGTTCGACCAATATCAGTTAGAGCACAAGTATTATCGACATGGATGACAACGACTTCGAATTTGAGGTGAAAATACACGTTTTTTGTTCATTATCAACGTTGTTAGACATTTCGTGTTATAACACACGAAATATATGCTTTCATTTCGTGTAATAGTATACGATATATGTCTTAAAATCGTTTGTTGTTTGTTTCGTAGACAAGTATACGGAATTAAAGCTTACATTTCGTAGTAAAACCTACGAAATGGAAGCTCTTATTTCGTGTGTTTTTACACGAAATTGTAGTTTACATTTCGTATGTTTTTCTACGAAATCCCTTAAATATTGTCTTTTAATTTTAAATATTTATGTAGGAACTAAGAGAACAATCTCACGATCATAGTCACTTCTTTGAACGTGGCATTGTGTGTGACAGTAGAGAAGCGTTAATTATGTGGGCAAATGACACAACAATTAGTAATAATCATCGACTGATTAATCATTGTAAATCAGAAAAATATCATGTTTTAACGTGTGCAAGATATCAATCTGGACGACACGTACTATTGAAGAAACGTTCTTGTCCGTTCAGGTTAATTGGCAAAAAATCAACGGAGGATGGATTATGGCGATTGAGTGTGAGTAATGGTAATCATAACCATCTGCCGGGTATTTGAAAGTTTAATTATGTTTAAATTTGTTTTTATTTTAATTTTGCATTTTAATGTTTAATTTATGTTGATGATGCTCAATAGAACCATCGACATTGTTTTTCAATTTCAAGACCCATTTACAACTTATGGGCTTCTTACCGGCAGAAAGATCGGAAATGGTCCAAGTGCCATTGCGTTCTAAAGCATCAATTTATGTTCGCATAGCCTGCTTCCAGTTTGGATCCTGTAAAGCCTCAGAAAACGTATAGTGTTCTATCCCGGCAGATATGGCAGCAAAAAACATAGAATGAGATTTAGAAAAAAATTCACATGTAACATAGTTCGCTAGTGGAAACCGCATACCTGAGGATCCGGATGAGGGGTCAGACGATTTGGGGTGTACTATTGTAGCCGTGTGACACACATAATCACGAAGATGGGAAGGCGGGTGACAAGATCGTTGAGCCCGACCAAGTGCAGGCTCCAAATTAGAAGAGGATGACTCGGCAGGAAAATTTGACAATGATTAAATGTTTGGAGCTGCTCCCCCTCACTCTTTACACTCAAAATTTTGTTCTTCAAATGTAGAAGTGTTCCATGACCAAGTATTGATGTTAGTGGAGTTTGGGATATTTCAGTTGATGGAATATTGGTTTGAGCAAAAGGAAAAACATTCTCATCAAATATAACATCTCGGGAAACAAACAATTTGTGGGTTTCTAAATCCATGATCTTCTAACCCTTTTTACCATAAGGATATCCCAAGAATATACATTGACGGCTTCGAGGAGAAAATTTATCTTTTGACCGATCTTTGTAAGGCCAAATGAGAATTTTATCATGTAAGTTTAGTCTATCATGTTTCAAAATCAGAATTTTAGTCATGTTAGTTTCAAAAGTTGAGAATTTTGGTCCTATGACCTGTTATAATAGGTTAGACAATGGTTGGTTCAATGAATTGGCATTTAATTTATAATAAATTATAGATTAAAAATAAACTAGATGATGTGGGTAATGAGTTGACGATTTTGGAGAGAAATAAAATATACTATCAAATTATTTTTTTATTTGATGAATGAAATAAGCATTTTTGTAGTAATTATTTTTTAATTAATATTTCATAGTTTTCAATTAAAAAAAATAGTAATTAATTATATTTTATTACTCAACTATGTGAATTTTTTACTCTTAGTTTGATAAGGTATGTTATGTTTGTCTTATTGAAAAAAACGTATTTTATGTTTGGAGGCTCTAGAATGATATTTTTGTACATTTAATTTAATAGAATTTTGAATATATTTTATTATTGTTA